AAAAGTCAGGCCTATGAGCCACTTTGTGATTTATAAAATATAAATCTGTTTTTAAATGACAGAATGAGTCATGTTAAAGTGAATGGAATAAATATATAAACCAACTTTAGAAACAGAACTTCATTTGAGGTGGGTTAATGAGATTTATTATATCCATATATACATTTTTCCTATCTAGTCATTATTTCAAGGCAAATATTGAAGTGGGTATACCCGTTCCATCTTTTGCTTTGATTTCTAGGATTTCTGGCTAGATTTATGACCTAATTCTTAAAGAAAAGTTAACTTTTGAACTATAAAAGTATCATGCATTATTTAAGACTATTTAGAATCTGTAGAAGAATGATATGAAGCAGAAAGAAAAACAACTGAAGATTTTTGCTTATTTCTGTATATGATGGTGTTTTGTGTTTAATCTTATAGTACATTTTCTATCTTTTCACAAATTCTTCATTCATGTGCTTTTTTCTTAGGGCTACCATAGTTTTCTAAATAAGGTGATGTACCATGATTTTCTTTACATTTTCTCTATGGCTGGATATTTTAATTACTTTGAATTTTGGAGCATTTTGTAACAATTTTAACCCACGTTTGACCATTGTGACTCTCAGAAGTCCATTCATTCATTCATTCATTCATTCAAGCTATCATTATTTATGAAGCACCTACTGTGCGTCATGGTGAGGACTGGTGACCCGATAGGATGAGGAGTCTGAGAGAGGGAACTGACCTGGCAGCAGATAGCCCCCATTCCCCTCTGCTAAGGCATCCTCTATATAGGGCAGACTTTGCCTTTGTTGAGGGCCTTGTCATCATTCAGTGCTGCCCATCACTGGGTGGGTAGGTCTGCCCTATTCTGGAATTCAGTATTAGAAAGCTCATTATTGCTGCACCCCAAAGCCATATCTTCCCACCCAGTCTTTATGACTCATGCCTTAGTCAGTTCAGGCTGCTATAACCAAAGTATCATAAACTGGGCGGCTTAAACAACAAACACTTATTTTTTACAGGGTTGGAGGCTGCAAAGCCCAAGGACAGGGTCCAGCATGGTTGGGTTCTGATTAGGGGCCCCATCCTGGTTTGCAGATGGCTGTGTCTCCCTATGTTCTCACACAGTGGAGAGCAGATCTGCTCTCGTGTCTCTTCTTATAAAGACGCCAATCCGTCATGAGGGTGGAGCCCCTCCCAAGGCCTCATCTCCAAATACCATCCCACTGGGGGTTAGAGTTTCAACATGTGAATTTGGGGGACACACATTCAGTCCACTGAACTGTAATGAAGACGGTACTTTTGTCTTTTTCTGCCTGACTCCTGTGACTCTCTCTCAACTGGTTCCAAACTTGGGTGAGGAAAAGACTTCCTCAAGTATCAATGGCTAAAGTCTAGTGTTTGGGGGTGGGGGTGGGGCTGATCTGGCTGTAAGGCCGAGGGACAAGCAGATAGTTTCTTTGGTTCAGGCCTTCACCAGTTTTCACGGAACAAATCGTTTCCTTTCTTTGTGCACCTGCATCCAAGCCTGCCCTGGCCTTTCCTGTGGGGGATGCGGCTCCCTTCCCTGCATGAGGTGTAACCCTCTGCTGTTTTAGCTGCTGACAGACCCTTTTTTCCAGCCTCCTCCATCTGGTAACTGGAGGGGGAGAACTTTAGGAATGGAGAGCAAGAAGAGAGGGCAGAAGTACTCCAAATAGTAGCCCTCCAGGCAGTACCCAGCCTCATCCTTCTCAAGTGCAAACTAACCCTTCTTAACCAAGCAGACGCATTGAGATGCAAGTTTCATTAGGATGAAATCTCTCTCAGGAAGCACCTTGGTTCCTCAGCAAATAAAACTCTTCATGAGCCAACCCCAACAGCTGACCAGGCCAGTCTGAATACATACATACGTACATAAATTTATATAAAATACATACATGCTAAATAAATGCAATAAAGCTATATATAATATATACGATAATATACAATAATGCTATATTTACACACATCTTAGGATTTAACGCTACAGATGGATACGTATACGCACAAGGAAGCATGTGAATACACACACACTTGCTGCATATAACAGAACATTGCCCCCAAGCCTTTAAGTTCTAAGTCAATAAACACAAGGAAGGGACTGTTTCCATACTTCTGCGGTCCTCAGGGTCAGCTCTTTGAATCACGCCTCTCTTCCAACTGGGGATTTAAATTCCTTGGAAAGACAGTATATGGAGGGCAAGAAGTCAAGGACCTGGTCCTTCTTCTGACCCTATCCCTGGCTGTGTGAGAGACGCACCCTCCTGCTTTGCTGCCTGAGTTTCACTGCAGTTAGTGGGGTAGAGGCTTTCTGTGTATTGGCTTTCTAGCTCCTGTAGGTGTATACTCTGAACAAATAGCCAATGATTTGTCGGTGGCCAGAGGAAGGTATGACAGGAGAGAGAGGTGGTGAGGTTTGAAGAGACAGGAAATAGGGTAGCCCTCATCCACCGGAGAGTGGTAGAGCATGCAATTGGGAAAAGATGGGAATCCAGACATTTCAGCTGAATGCATTGCTTATCTCATCAACTGTTGCAAGAATCATGTAGATGACTGTAGTCCATTTTTGCACCCTTTAAAAGAAAGGTATTTATAGGTGTCACAGTGCTGGGTACTTTATTGGGGGACATGAGGACCACAGTGGTGGACCAGCCGTAGACCCTTCCCCGTGTCTCAACAACTCTGGCAAGGGAGCTCACCTATAGGCTCTGGGGAAACCGCTGCCTGCAAGTGGGACCGGCCAGATGCTATGGCCCTTGATAAACTGGAAAACGGTATCTCAACCTTTCTATTTAAGTCGTCAAGTATTTACCAGACACATTCCTTCAGGAGAGCCCCCATATGATTCATGCTGGTTCTCTCACCTGGCCTCTCCCACAGAAGGTATGATAAATATTTATTGAATGTATTGGCACATGTTATTTATAAAACCCTTTGCTTGGATTGTGGTTAGGTAGGTAGGGACATATTTAGAGAAGCTTTTGTGCTGACTACAACTCGGGGCCAGAAAGGCATGACTTGAGATGCTTAATCTGGGTTTAACTATTTCCCTTGGTCCCCCGTATTTTTTGTTTTCTAGTTCTTCCTCACTCAAGCACTTCCCCTCCCTTCCCCCCACGCCCACCTGCAGGCTGTCACCTGCTTTGGAGGCTTCAGAGATCAGCTCATGAGAGTTTGCCCTGACACACACACACACACACACACACACACACACACACACACACACACACACA